GGGGGGGGGGCACGGGCACGTGCTACTTTGTTTCTTCTTTGCCTCATGCTTTCCAGGAAATGTTTCAAGATGCACGCCCGGCATTATTGTTCCCATGTCAATGCTACTCCCGACAAGTCCACCACGCGAAGAGCAACTGCCAAGCCGATTGAATGCTGATTGTTTCATTCATACAATGCAACACCCCTGCTCAACATCAATGGCACCATCGGAGCCCGACAAGTCCACCTCCTATAGTTGGAGGCGACTTCCAACAACTTCCCTGGGCCAATCATCAATGACACCATCGGAGCCCACCAAACTGAGACTCACCCACACGCGCATGCACTTGCACACATAGAGTTTTGGGGCCGACCAAACTGAGACTCACCCATACGCGCATGCAATTGCACACATAGAGTCAAAACTCGGCAAGTAAGCTCGGGGCATACATGCAAGATCGCTTTGTCACAAACATATTCAGAGAACATAGCAAACAAATGTCTGAATCGGAATCCTTAGCAAAAAAGTCAACGGGACAATGGACAGGATTTTCTCATAAAAGTTCACAGTTCTTGCACAGCACAAAAAAGGACGATGCTGCAAAGGTACCGGCTTCCCAAACAAAACACTGGCAGATAAAGAAACAAAAAAAGTTCGGTGGTATTCCCTCCTATTTCTTGCACGCGGATTTCTGTCTGCTATCAGGCTCTTCTTTTTGTTTTTGTGAAAGAAGCGGCATATGATAGGGCAGTTCCTTATGCTTTTTCTTTCTTTTGTGCTTTTTTAGTTTTCTGTTTTTGCGGACGAAGCCGCAACGGGTCATCTAGTAGACTATTAGCAGTTCTAAGGGTCAGTCTAGCACCCTAGCCTATTACTTTCTAGAATTTGCTACTTGGCTCTTCGGAGCTGTAGGAGTCAGTTGCCTGTAGGTGAGTCAGCAAGCTAGAGTCTAGTCCTAGGCCAGTCTAAAGTCCCAGTCCACTTTGTCCGGTCAGCAAGTACCAGGTGGGGCTGTACGCTCCTTGGGCCTGGGGCCGGAGGCAGGCCAGATCACCGATGAACAGTATAAATAAAGAGGAAGCGCCGACGGCGCTTGCTGTGCACGCGCCACATGCGCAATGCGCCATACGGCGCCTGTATGCGACCGGCGCGCACGTGATGTGCTGCATGTATGGTTTAGACTTTTTACTAGGCCTTTGGCTGCCCGTTGACCAGCTCGCTCATGAAGCTCATTCTCAATTCTGCAATGCTGGCGAGTGGTGGGGCTTGTCGGAGTCGCTGAGTTCCATAGGGCAGTTGATGAAGGCAGTCATAATGTCTGCTTTAGACCAGGCATTGAATCTGATTCTTCATCATGGGATGTGTTTACCTTTCCGAGGGGTAGGAAGTGTTCATTCCATCGAACTGTTTTGTAATGTTGGCATTGAAGTACATTACCAACTCTTATGGTGAGGCTGGTTGTAAGTTTGTACAAGTTTTTCACAATGGGTGTTTGTTCTCTTAGGCATCTAGCATTATTGTATTATCAATTGGGATTGGAACTCATGATCTGTTTACCAACTGTTTACCAGCCATGGAACTGTAAAGCCCATGATATACTTAGTCTATTCTTCTCAGTCATTGCCGTCTCCCCCTCCCCACTCCCCTCCCGACCCCCCCCCAAAGCTTGAAAATTTAAATCTTAATGAATGACTTGCGGTTGCTTCTGCAAGCACAAGGAACAGTCATGACCAGCATGCATATCACAGTGTGGAAATTAGCAGAAATGACAAAGCAATGATCACACTATAACAGAAGTCTCTTTATGATGAAAATTTATCAACAGTCAATTAGACAAAAGCAATAGTTCTCTGCTCCCGGTGGTCTTTCTGCCAGCCTAGGTGATGACCTATTCCATGTCCTACTCAAAACCACACAATGCTGCGGTATCTGGCTTTGCCTGAACAAAGAATGTATAACACTGAAGATCGTTTTGGGAACTACCATGCATGTCCCAGACCAACTCCCTTATCATACAGTCCTCCCCTTCTTCCAAAGACCTTCCTTTCTTGCACCACTTCTCTCTCTCAGCGGCATCCAGCTGTGGTGGGTGCTTCTCTCCTCCCAGCTACGCTGACTGACTCGGGTTGTGCCGACTCTGGCTGCTGCCTCCACTACGATGCGCACCCTCCCTGCACACCCCAGCCAGAGTGTCTCTCACTGCCCCGCCTGTGCTTACATGCGGGCTTGGCCAGTAGCCCTTGCCCTCCGGTAGCTTCTAAAGGCTGTTCTGCTCTAAAAGGTCCCACCTACTGCGCCACCACCCTGACTTGGCCTGACCCCTCCTTTTTCAAACTGGCCAGGCTATTTCCGCTTAGCACCGAGCTTCGGGCACAGCAGCCCTCGCCTCCACCGGCAGGCCTTTGCAGCCTCACACTATGTGGCACTTGACTCTCTTGTCCCGTGAGAATCTAGATTACCACAATGCTTTTGTTACTAACTCTTGGCATTCTGCCACCTGTTTCACACAATTTGGTTTCTGTGTTCCTTTGGCAAATGACAGTGCTACGTTGTCGACAATGATGAAGATCGGACCTTGTTGAACCATGAGCTGAAGGAAGTTCACAATTGGGGTGTCAGTATAGTGAAAGCAGATTCTGATGATCAAGACTTGTACGCAAGAGTAACACAAGGGCTACACGTAACCCAAGAGGTGAGGTTGGTTGTCGTCAACCTCAGCATGGGAAAATATACTGGCCTGTCTCGCTCATGTTCTCCTTATGGGACACAGTACCCTAACACTCTCCTAATGGGACAAAGCACTCTAACACTCTTCTTATGGGTAAAACTACCCTAACACTCTCCTTATGGGACAAAATAGCCTAAAGCTCTCCTTATGGGACTAAGTATCTACTTGTCTCCTGCCACGTAGGATCTTGGTCGATATAGGATGACGCCCCAAATAACTGCATCCTATTCTGTCCTACTCCGACTTGAATTATGACTGTTTTTGGAGCAGGCTGGTTTGTATATTCTACACATCGGTGGACTGAGACTTTGTGCCTTTCTTTCCCAACTTGTTCCCATTTAGATCAACACAAGTATGGTTGCAGGTGATGTTTTTTGAAGGTTGCCGAGGGCCTACGCTGCGTGTCATTGAGTGCTTGATCTTCTGACCTTCTCTGTTGGTTTGATTGACAGATGCGTGAATACGGAATCACTCACAGGCTTGACGAAGTTCTTGATGCTCCTCAAGCTGTGAAGAATGTTCTCCTTCAACAGGCAGCAGTGGACCAATCTGTAAGTCCTTTGCTAGGTTCCCAAATTCGTTATCCTAGGAAAGAGGGGCGTGTGTGTGTGTG